TTTCAACTTTTCTTTTCCTCAATTTTTCAACTTCCTGATTTTTATTTTATATTTTCCGGATATTTTCGCAACTTTTTTTTTCAGTTTCTTCATTTTATCAACGATTCTTTTGTTTTTATAATTTTTTGGTTATTAAGTTTTTAAATTTCCATTCTTGGATTTTTCAATACCTCGATTTTCCCATTTTTGGATTTCCCAACTATCCGATTCATTTTATACGTTTTAGTTTTTTGATTTTACAATTTTGCAAATTTTCAATTTTTTCAGTGGTAGAAATGGAAAATTGAAAAATTCAAAATTGAAAACTAGCGAATTTGCAGATCGAAAAGTTGTAAATCCCAAAAACTAATGTACCGAAAAATTGGAAGATCGAAAAACTAAAAAATTTATAAATGAAAACTCGAAGAGAGAAGAAACAAAAAAAATGAAAAATTGAAAAATTGTAATTCGAAAAATAGATATACATTGAAAAATCGAAAAATTGAAACAACTTAAAATCTGGAAAACAAAAAATTGTAAAATTGGAGCATTGATTTCATACACTTTTTCGATATTTTGATTTTTCGATTTATCGAAATTTCGATATTTCGGATATTTTTTAAATTTTTGTTTTTTTTGACTTTTTATTTTTTAATTTCCCAGTTCTTTTCTCGACTTATAGAGATTTCGATATTTCCATTTTTTTGATTGTTCAGTTTCCCGATTTCCCAATTTTCAATTTTCAGGTTTTTCAATTTTTCGATTTCCCAATTCTTTAGGAATTAATTTAGTTTGGAGATTTTTCAACTTCTCGATTTCTCGTTTTTCTTTATTTTCTGTTTTTCAGTTTTAGATTCTTTTAAATATTTTGACTGTCTAAATTTGAGATTTTTCGATTTTTTGATGCTTTTATTTTTCGACTTCTGCTTCAGTTTTTCGCTTTCTCGATTTATGGAAATATCGAAATTTCGATTTTTCGATTGTTCAATTTCCTGGTTTTTCGATTTTCCAATTTTTTGTGTTTCGATTTTTTCAGTTTGGGGATTTTACAAATTCTCAATTTCAGTTTATTTTTATATTGCCGTTTTTTAATTTTATGATTCTTTGCCATTTTTATTTCCCGATTTTTAAATTTTCTAATAAAATATGTATCTCAATTTTTCAATTTTTTCAATTTTCGATTTCCCAATATCTCGGTTTTACGATTTTTAAAATTTTTCGACTCTTAGATTTCCCGATTATTCAAGTTTTCGATTTATCAATTTCTGGATATTTTAATTTTGAAATTTTTCAATATTTCAGTTTTTGAGATTTTAGATTTTTCGATTTCCCAATTCTTCAAAAATTAATTTAGTTTGGAGATTTTTCAACTACTCGATTTCTCGTTTTTCTTGATTTATCTGTTTTTCAGTTTTGCAATTCTTTGGTCTCGATTTCCCGATTTTTAAATGTTCTCAATTTTTCAACTTTCCTCTTTTGGGATTTTTCAATTTTTCGATTTTACCAATTTTTCAAAACTTCAATATTGGGGTTTTTCAACATTTTGATTTTCTGAATTTTAGATTTTTCGGTTTTTGATGTTTCGATTTTTCAACTTCTCGATTTTAAATTTTTGGATTTCTCGGTTTTTAAAATTTTTCATTCTTCTATTTTTTATTTTTCAGTCTTTCAATGTCTCGATTTATCAAAATATCGAAATGTCGATTTTTCTATTGTTCAGTTTCCCGGATTTTCGATTTTCCAAATTTTTATTGTTTGGATTTTTCAGTTTGGGGACTTTCCAATTTCTCAATTTCTGTTTTTTTTTGATTTTTCAATTTTTAAAATATGTATCTCAATTTTTCAATTTTCCCAATTTTCGATTACCCAATATCTCGGTTTTTCGATTTTTAAAATTTTTCGCCTCTTAGATTTCTCGATTTTTCAAGTCTCCGATTTATCAATTTTTGGAAATTTTAATTTTGGAATTTTTTAATTTCAGATTTCTCGATTTCTGGATTTTTTATTTGTCAATTTTCCCATTCAATTCTCCGATTTTTCGGTTTCAAATTTTTGGTTTATTTAATTTTAAAATTTTTTTATTTTTCTGTTTTAAAAATTTTTTATTTTTCTGTTTTAAAAATTTTTTATTTTTCAGTTTTTCGATTTCTCGATTCGATTTTTCGATTCGATGTATTGAATTTTTCAGTTTGGTGATTTTACAAGTTGTCAATTTCTGTTTTATTTTTTTGATTTTCCAGTTTTTTTATTTTACCATTCCTTGCAATTTTGATTTCCCGATTTTTAAATTTTCTAATAAAATAGGTATGTATTTCAATTTTTCAATTTTTCCAATTTTCAATTTTCAGATATCTCGGTTTTTCAATTTTAAAATTTTTGGACTCTTAGATTTCCCGATTATTCAAGTTTTCGACTTATCAGTTTTTGGATAATTTTGAAATTTTTCAATAATCCAATTTTTGAGATTTTAGATTTTTCGATTTTCCAATTTTTACAGGTTTCGACTTTTCAATTTTTCTATTTTTCAGTTCTTCAAGAATGAATTTAGCTTGGAGATTTTTCAGCTACTTGATTTCTCGTTTTTCTTGATTTTTCTGTTTTTCAGTTCTGCAATTCTTTGTTTCGATTTCCCGATTTTTAAGTGTTCTCAGTTCTTCAATTTTCCTGTTTTGGGATTTTTCAATTTTTCGATTTATGAAATTTGGAATTATCAATTTTTAGCCCAATATTTGGATTAATTTCTGATTTTTAGATTTTCCGATTTTTTGATGTTTCGATTTTTCGATTTTCCAATGTTGCAATTCTCCCATTTTGTCGTTGCCATTCTCCCATTTTTTCGATATTATGATTTTTCGATTTTTTATTTAAAATTTAGATTTCTCGATTTATCGAAATTTCGATATTTCGGATTTTTTTAATTTTCGTTTTTTTTTGACTTTTTATTTTCTAATTTACCAGGATTTTTCTCGATTTATAGAGATTTCGATATTTCCGTTTTTTTAATCGTTCAGTTTACCGGTTTTTCAATTTTTCGATTTCCCAATTCTTTAAGAGTTAATTTAGTTTGGAGATTTTTCAACTTCTCGATTTCTCATTTTTCTTGATTTTTCTGTTTTTCAGTTTTAGATTCTTTTGAACATTTTGATTGTCTGAATTTTAAATTCTTCGATTTGTGGATTTTAAATTTTTGGATTTTTCATTTTTTTATTTTTCAGTTTTTCGCTTTCTCGATTTATGGAAATATTGAAATTTCGATTTTTCGATTGTTCAATTTACTGGTTTTTCGATATTCCAATTTTTTGAGTCTCGATTTTTTCAGTTTGGGAATTTTATAAGTTCTCAATTTCTGTTGTATTTTTTTGATATGCCAGTTTTTTAATTTTATGATTCCCGATTTTTGAATTTTCTAATAAAATATGTATTTCAATTTTTCAATTTTTCCAATTTTCGATTTCCCGATATCTCGGTTTTCCGATTTTTAAAATTGTTCGATTCTTAGATTTCGCGATTTATCAATTTTTGGATATTTCAATTTTGAAATTTTTCAATATTCCAATTTTTGAGATTTTAGATCTTTCGATTTTCCAATTCTTCAAGAATTAATTTAGTTTGGAGATTTTTTCTTGATTTTTCTGTTTTTCAGTTTTGCAATTCTTTGGTTTCGATTTCCCGATTTTTAAATGTTCTCAATTTTTCAATTTTCCTGTTTTGGGATTTTTAAATTTTTCGATTTTATCAATTTTTTGAAACTTCAATATTGCGGTTTTTCAACATTTTGATTTTCTGAATTTTAGATTTTTCGGTTTTTTGATGTTTCGATTCTTCAACTTATCGATTTTTAATTTTTGGATTATTCAGTTTTTAAAATTTTTCATTTTTCTATTTTTAATTTTCTACTCTTTCAATATCTCGATTTATCGAAATATCGAAATTTCGATTTTTTTATTGTTCAATTTCCCGGATTTTCGATTTTCCAAATTTTTTACGTTTCGACTTTACAGTTTGGGAACTTTACGATTTCTCAATTTCTCTTTTTTTTTATTTTTCAGTTTTTAAAATATGTATCTCAATTTTTCAATTTTCCCAATTTTCGATTACCCAAAATCCGGTTTTTCGATTTTTAAAATTTTTCGCCTCTTAGATTTCTCGATTTCTCGATCTTTTTGTCAATTTCCCCATTCAATTCTACGATTTCTCGGTTTTAAATTTTTGGTTTTTTCGATTTTAAAAACTTTTTATTTTTCTATTTTAAAAATTTTTAATTTTTTAGTTTTTCGATTTCTCGATTCGATTTTTCGATTTTCCAATTTTATGATGTTTTGACTTTTGTAGTTTGGGGATTTTTCTTTTTTTGGCTTTTAATTTTGTTAATATACCAGTTTTTTTCAATTTTTCGAATTTGACAAAAATCACAAACATTCAGAATTCTCTGATTAATAATGTAGCTTCCCGGCATACTCGCTGCGCTCGCATTTTCGTAAATTCGTTTATAGAAGTTATAATAAAAAAAATAATTGTGTGTGAAGTTTTTTGAACTGGAGAAAATCTTTACCAAATGAATAAAAAATGATTTCCTTGACCTGACAAGCATCAAGTCCCTAAATAAATTCTTTAGTGAACGAACGCCGTACTTAATAAATTGTGACCGCCGTACTTAATAAATTTCCACGGCGAACTTGATCTGTTTTATTAAAAGTCCAACAGACAGCCCAACTAGACCCACAGCCACATTTCTCCCCACGCCTCCGCGTCGAAAGTAAAACCGCTTATTGGAAACCCACCGCAGCGCCCATCTCCCGCATGCAACCCATCGTCTCCTGGTCCCACCACAATACCATCGCAACGTGCATTAGCATTAAGCAACCCATCTATCTGTATGGGAGTATAAGGAAGGCGCGCGCGGGGCCAAGAGAAATCAATATGAGGGGCGACTTAGGGGCGCAGGCTTGAGCCCTACTGAGCCTAGCGAACGCCAGTGTTCCTTCGCCCCACTCGGCTATTGCATCTCCGCGTACGACGCCGGCTCCTATCACAACGTAAAACGCACCAGTGATGCTACAACTTTCATTCATGCTGTGATGTGCCGAAGAGATGTGGCCCTCCGGAGCGGCCTCTGCCGGACCTCCCGGCCCGTCGGTGGCCACGTGTGCAGTGAAAAGTGCCGCAGGAACCCAACGTGCGCCCGTTTTTCGCCCAGTCGGGAATTTTTCACAGGGTAAAACACGATCTGAGACGGTGGCGGTGTGGCGGGCGTCGAATTAGTCGAAAAGGGAAAGTGCGATATGAAAGTTAATGATCGGGTGTATTGCATCAACAGGTTTTTACGAATATCGGAGGGAAGTCGGGGGTGAGAAAATTTGCTTGAGGAAGAGTGTTCCAGAAGCTGCTTTGATATTCCTCGTGCGTCGGATACGAATTCGTTATTAAAAAAAAATCGATTGTGAAAAAACTATCGTTTGAAAACGAAAAATTATACTACCGACGGATTAAAATCTAGATAAAATCTCCGCGAAAGCGTTCAACCACCCTTTGAATTCCAGAAAATGTAACTCGAGGAAAACGTGAGCTTTCGCAGTCACCGAACTAATAAATATTCAAAAGCTTCGTAAAAAAAGCGCATAATAAAACTAAAACAAATCACTATAAACACTAAGTAGTAGTTCGTTCGTCGAAAAAGGTCAACTAACCACCGATAAGCAGTTCTTATCGTCGCGTATTATTATTCAACAATTTTATCCAAATTCGGGTTTAGGGGCGAAAAACGTCAATTAAAAGCGCCAACTCTGCCATCCTTTGTGCTACTATAATGGAGTCTTCTACAGTTTCGGGCCACACATCGCGAAAACCTAAGGGTTGAAACTGATAGCAATCGGGGCGAGTTGGGGTGGATTTCATAACAAAAGTCAAAGTAACCTTGAACTAGTTCCGTAGTTAGCACATCTTGACTCAAAAACTCGCTATATTACGCATCATGCTCTAATTACTCTCGTACCGTTGTCGTTATCACGGTTACCCCCGACTGCAAATTCATTCCATCATTGTACCTCGTCGACAAATTACGCATTAATTAATATTTCATCGACAACCCCACCTGAATAATTGAAAATCCAGCACGGTAACGATTTTCCTTCGACAATACCCTAGGTCGTCGATTGTTCCGCCCGTCACACAATAAACCAACCAGTCATTTCAATTTCATTATCATAAACACCGTTTTTACCGACTGGGCGAAAAATAATAAATAATCTCTTTCAAGTTTCTAAAAAACCAACAAGTGTTCACTAACTCGTAAAAATTTGTGTTGCCAAAATGTTGTTCGGTGTTCGAAAAGCCAGTGTGGAATAAGTGTCGACTTTTGCAGGTCAGTGGTATTCCGGTTGTTACGATGCAGCAGCGGACTTGTTCGCGAACAAACGCAATGTCAACTGTGTCACACTTTATGTCGCCCTTTATGGCTTCGGGTTTGATAGTTCGCAATAATGTGGCTCGTATTTAAATAATTTAGGTCAAATGTGTTCAGTGGGGTGTAACACCTTAACACCGCCGTCATTCCGGATGGATGGATTCGAATCCACGAACATAATTAATGAATATTGTTGTGAACGTTTGAAGGAAACTCGGCGCCGATTGGACGGCTCAAGGTCGCTTGTGTGACGTAACCGACGACAATGTGCTGCTTAAAATTCACACGTTCTTTAATTTGAAGCCCTAATCTGAATAACATATCTAACAAAACTAATTACAATATTCATCAAGGTCGGTTTTAAACGATAACAGAACTTGTAACACGTGCGGCGAAAGTTCCAACGTACATTTACGTCTAACGAGGAAATTAAAATTGTAGTGGACTCTAATACCATCGACATTATAAACCAAAAAACTAGCTATAAAATTCAGCAGTAGTATTCGACGAGATTATTTCACAAATTTTTATTTATGTCAGAAAATCCGAAATAGACACAAGATAATAGATTCTCTCGGGCGATATGCGGTCGACAAAGGACGTCGCTTTCGGTGCTTTATGGAAACGACAGTGAAATATACTTCCTTGGGAAGCAACAACTCTATGCGTCTCAGGAATGACCCGGGATTATTTGATGTCCGCGTTATAAATGAATTATCATTAATTACAATATTGTTGGGCTTTGAGGCCGCCGTGACCCGAATGTAATCGCGTTGGCCGGGCACGACGATCATCGGCGCCATTAGTAAATAGCGCAGGACCGGGTACGAAGTCGTGGAATTTTTCTAAACGCTGCAGACAAAAAAATTAATAAATCAAGCCGGTCTTGATGTGCTTTCTGAAAAAATGGGGTTACTAAAACGCCTGGCGCCAAAGCGTTGCAAAAAGTGCGTCTGAGAAAGCTTTTGTTCTTAAGAGATTTTTTTTCTGAATTCATTAATGTCTCATAGTTGAATTACCCATAAGCCGCCTTTTCCTCTTAAATTGTCTATATTTGGTCTGGCGCTGAGTGCCCGGAAATCGGGTGAACCTATTCATTAAAAAAAACCTTCGTGGCATCGCATTGTCACCCACGGACCTTTTTCCCGTCCCTATTTGCACTATCCCCTTCAACACTATTATGCTTATCCTCACTATAATGAAACCAACAAAATCCCTTTATCCCCAGCAAATTTCTCAACTTTATTCCTGACAATCCTTCGACAAGCCCAGCCATTATACCACACATAATAGCCAAACTTTCCCATAACCATCAATCATTTCGGTGTAAAGCCACCCGCAAAATAATTTAAACAGTTAGAAATAATCGCGCAACTTCCAACAATACCAACTTAAAAGAGAACTTCACGGCCGCATGAAACACGAAAGATTGATTGTGACTTTGACTCTAGTCATAATTTTTTAAAAAAATCCGATCACGTCGTGTTTGCCGTTGCAGAAACTGTTCAATCTCGTTCCATACAAGATCCGTAGTTAAATCAAAATGGCGCTTGCGTTGAAAATGTGATTAAATTATCTCGAGGGAATTTGTTGCGGTGGCAATGGGGAGGAAGTAATGGTTTTTATTTTATAGAATTAGGGACGGCTTTTATTTTTGTAGCGAGGCGTGGGCGGATTTCTTCTGAACATACGATTAATTCCAATCAATACTTTACTACGGTTTTATTAAATGTTATTATGTAATCAACAATGTAACACAATGTTTTCCCGGCGCCTCCGCCATAATTGTCGCCCTCGACTGTGACAAAGCAACTCAATACAGCTATTCACAATTCCGAGCAATTACTCCAATAGCATGCAACATATTTCGCACGCTATGCAGTTCTTATCGCCCCTAATTGCGCTCTAATTCGAGCAATTAGAAGTACTTTTTACGAATTCGCATTATAATAGAAATAGTTGTAAAGCAACAAGTCCTTGGCGAAGCCCCAAGGAATAACCTAACTGTTAAATCCGCATTAAGATCGAGTATAAACACATAAATATTCCGCGGCCCACTTGTTGGCACCGAAAAAACATCCCCGATGCGAAATTAATTGCGTCGGCAACCCCCGATGATTTTAATGGCGAACGAAAGGTCGAAGGTAGAAGCAGACGTTTTCGGTTTAAAACGGGATTCCAGTTTGAGTGTGGACACAGCGAAAAATTCTGGGTGGGATGATGGAACGTGGGCCGAAATTAAGTGGGCTTAGCGAAAATGGGTACGGCAGCATTTTCGGTTGTTTGTTGGCTACGCACTTAAACTGGAAATTAATCAAGTGGAATTTGGACTTTCGGAATTATTTGTGATTGTAATGCACGATGTAGTTCAAAACGCGGTTATGAAGTTTTCGCAAATCTTCGTTAAAAGTGGGTCGAATAACTTTTCTGTCTATTTAGTATTCAATTGATTGCCCCGAAAGACAAAGTTATGAACGGGAACGTGAAAACATAGACAGAACTGAGTTTTGATTGATTGTAACACTTGCTACTGTGTAAGTGCGCCTTTACACACCAGTTCTTACTTGAAAGAAAAGCGTCCAAAGCAAAATACGATGCGTTTTTTTGACAAATTTTAAATATTTACGAGTATATTTGCCATAAAAAATATCGTGAGCTTTACAGGCTTTATCTCACCATTTGATGCCAATCTGCATATCGAGCATTAAAATTTTGAAAAATTATAAAAAATGTTAGCGCAGCTTGTTTGAACTGAATCGTCATTTTTTTTTGAATTTTGAACTGATCAAAGCAAACCTCCCCGGTAACGATCCCGCATAGCACAAACACTACCACTTGTTACTGTGTAAGTGTGCCTTAACTACTTCTTTCACCAGTTTTTGCTTGAAAGAAAAGCGCCCAAAGAATGCTCTTTCGGTTTTTCAGCAAAATACGATCCGTTTTTTGACAAATTTTAAACATTTATATTTGCCGTAAAAAATATCATGAGCTTTACACGCTTTATCTAACTAGTTGATGCCAATGTGCATATCGATCATTAAAATTTACGCTGATTGTTTAGAAATTCTAAATTGACTACTGACAACGGTAGAAAAAGTTGGTCTAAGTTTATGTCGACAGACCTTCCCTCGCCGCTGAAGTGCAGCCCAACAAATCCCCTTTGAAAAAGCATAAAAAATGTTTGCGCAGCTTTTTTGAATTGAGTCGTCAATTCTTTTTTGAGTTTTGAACTGATCAAAGCAAACCTCCCCGGTAATGATCCCGCATAGCACAAACACTAGCACTTGCTACTGTGTAAGTGCGCCTTAACTACTCGAAAAAGTGGATGAATGGTAACAGAGAAATCAATGTTCCAATTTTACAATTTTTTGTTTTTCAGATATTAAGTTGTTTCAATTTTTCGATTTTTCAATGTATATCTATTTAAAATTTTTCGAATTGCAATTTTTCAATTTTTCATTTTTTGTTTCTTCTCTCTTCGAGTTTTCATCTATAAATTTTTCCGATTTTCGATCTTCCCATTTTTCGATATTTTAGTTTTTGGATTTTACAACTTTTCGATCTGCAAATTCGCGAGTTTTCAATCTTCAATTTTTCAATTTTTCGATTTTTCAATTTCTACAGTTAAAAAAATCGAATTGAAAAAATTGAAAATTTGCAAAATTGTAAAATCAAAAAACCAAAACGTATAAAATGAAAACTGAAAATCAAAAAATTGGAATTCAAGAACTTGAAAATTAAGGAAATTGGAAAATCGGATAGTTGGGAAATCCAAAAATGGGAAAATCGAGGCATTGAAAAATCCAAGAATGAAAATTTAAAGACTTAATAACCAAAACATTATAAAATCAAAAGAAACGTTGAAAAAATGAAGAAACTGAAAAAAGAAGTTGTTAAAAAATCCGGAAAATATAAAATAAAAATCAGGAAGTTGAAAAATTGAGGAAACGAAAAGCTGAAAAATGAAAAATTGTAATATGGAAAAATTGTTATATTGAAAAACTGCAAATCGAAAAATTGAAGAAACGAAAAATAATAAATTTGGAATTCGTGAGATTAAAAAATTGAAAAATTTAAAATTAAAAAACTAAATTTTATGAAACCGAAACAATGGAAAATCGATGAATTGAAAAATTATAAAATCGAAAGACACTTTGAAGAAACAAAGGAAATAAAAGAATGAAAGATTATGACAGAAAATGGAGAAATGAAAATTAAAAAATCGGCAAAAATAAATCAGGAAAACGAAAAATAAAAATCAATAACTTGAAAGATTGAGGAAGGAAATTCGAAAAATTAAAAATTGAGAAAAATTAAAGTCAAAGACAAAAAATTATGGACGTGAAACATTGAATAATGTAAAAAAATTTTTTAGTGTCTCGATATTTAATTTTTCAATTTTTCGATCTTTCAATATTACAGTTTTTCGACTTTACTATTTTGGCGTTTCTAGAATGTTTCGATTTTACAATTTTTGTGTTTACCAAATTTTGGATTGATTAATTTTTTAATTTTAAGTTTCTCGAATTTAAATGTTTCAGTTTTTTGTTTCTTCAGTTCTTCGACATTAAGTTTTTCGAATTTAAAAATCGAATAATTGTAAAATTGTAAAACTGAAAAATCAAAAAGGAAAAAACGAAAATGTATAAAATGAAATCTTTGAAACTCTAAAAATTGGAAACCAACAACTTGAAAATTAAAGAAATTGGAAAATCGGTGAATTGCGAACTGCAGGAATGGGAAAATCGAGGTACTGAAAGATCGAAGGTTGAAAATTTAAAAAATTTAATAACCAAAAAATTATAAAATCGAAAAAAAAAATTCGGAAAATATAAAATAAAAATCATTAAAGCGGGAAAATGAAAAATCAAAATCAATAACTTGAAAAATCGAGGCAGCAAAAAGTTGGAAATTCGAAAAATTTTTAAGTGGAGAAAATTGAAAAAAATTAAAAACGA